AAATTAAATAATTTAAATTATAATTTTAAATAGAAATAAGTAGATGTTAATTATAAAAGTAAGTACATATAAATAAAGAATAATTGAATATATTATTATTATTATTATTATTATTATTATTCATAATATAAAATTATTATATATTATTATTATAGTACAAGTATGAGTAGGGATGGCAAAAATACCCGCACTCGCTGGTATCTGTGGATAAAATCCGCTACGGATAATAAATGGATAGATTAACTGGGTACCCGCGGATAATGAGGACGGATAATTTTTTACCCGTTTATAAATGGGGCGGGGGTAGGTATGATGATATCCATACCCGCGGGTACCCATTTGATATTATTTATTAAATATCTTAATTATCCTTGTACCACATAACCCTAAAATTACACTCTCTCATCTTATAGAATTATGTTGGATGTAATTTGATTAATTTTCTAGCTTTGATTAAACTAATAAGATTTATGTATTTTAAGTTGTTTACTTTCATTTGGAATTATGAGATTGAATTATTGTAGCTTTGTGATGAGACTTTAACTTACTTATGAGATTGATGTATTTTAAGTCATTGATTATCTTGTATTTTTATTATTATTTCAACAAAATTAACGTTAAAAAAAGTTCAAAATTAACATTGATATATATATATATAAAAGATAAAATTGTGGTAAATAGAAAGGAACCTTACCTGAATAATGGGAAGAGAAGGAAAATGGAGGTCTTGACGAACATTATGGATGAGGGTTTCCATGTTGAGTTTGTAAGCAGCAGCTTTAGCCTCGGTGTCAGTGTCGCTTTCTCCTTGGAACCACAGAAGCGCTTTGATTTCACAATTGTTGTCAAGCTTCAAGCTTTCCTTCGCCCTCTTCACCATGTTCTCGTACAGCTTCTCCCCACGCGCCCACTCCCTTATGGCGGGGCCGCCCACGGCGCAGGGGACCAGACCTAACTCGCCCGCCACGCCCCGCCGCACTAGCGCGTTCGCGAAGGGCATGGCGGGGCCCACGCCGCAGACTTTGGTGGTGTCGATGTCGGCGTGGAGGGGATCGCGCGCCGGCTCCCATTGGAGGGTGGTGGCGAGGCGGAGGATGGAAGGGTCGGGGCGGCACTCCGGCGGAACGACGCCGTCCCAATACTTTTTAGCGGTGTTATTGTCCCTGACGACGCCACCCCGACCAGCCATGTTGCTTTGACCTGAGAGTATGAAGATTTGCCTTTTCTTGTTGGTTTCCATGGCTCCTACCTTCCAACGTTCCTCTCAATTGTTCCATCTATCAAGTGGTTATTCATTATAAAACAGGTGGACCCGTGAAACTCGTTTCTAAAATTTCATTTCTTTAAATCATATTGCGCATAACTTTATTATGCACCAATTCATTTGGTTCATAAGAATCAATACCATTCTTTAATATCATTTGGTTCTTAACCTTAGACTGAGATTGTAATTGTGTTTTGCTTATACATTATGAAGCATAATTTTTTTTTTTATGATTTTAGTCTCGTTCAATTTCAAAATAAATTTATTTTAATTTTTAAAGTTAAATTTTATAATTTTTTAAAATTTTATTTTAATTTTTATATTTAAATTAATTTATCAAATAGTATTATATAAAATTTATTTATTAGTATCGTTATTATATTATTGTTTAAATTTATCATTTTAAATGTGTTATTGGTAACATAAAAATTTAAAATTAAATTTTTAAAAAATTTTAGACTAAAAAAATAGTCTTAAATTTGATAAATTAAAAATAGATTTACTTTAAATTTAAATAACTAAAATTATATTTAAATAAAAAATAATAATCAATATTATAATACATAAACTAATTTTTGTAATTATTTTTTCATTTATATAAGTTTAGAGAGAATAAAAATAAATTTATCTTGTTTATATATTTTTCTTCTAAAACTATACCAAAATCTCCATAGGGATTAGTCTCAAATCGTGTATCCAGGAGATCAAGACACAATTCCAAGGCTACAAGGAAAGATGTAGATCAGTCACTTTAGATAGTCAACTAAATAGAGTTATTATTTTGCTTTCTTAATTAATGTTGATATATCTTCTAATCAATTAGAATGTATATGTTTTATATATTTTTTTAATTATTACTTGTCTTTTTCTAAATTACTTAGAGTGTATGTACAAATTTAGTCTTATATAAAAAATTAATAATTATACTAAATTTAGTTTATAAATAAGAAGAAAGATATTATATTTATGATGTACCAACAACCAACCAATAAGGTCCAAAAACATGCACATTTTCAATTTAGCAAACCATCAAACTGAACACGTTTTCATTTTTTGTTGTTTCTTATTTGGTTAAATAATAACTTGAGTCAACTCATAAATTATAATCTTAAATTTTGTTTAGATGATCTTTTTTATAAACGTCTGTAAGAGAAGTAAATAAGAAGTTAAAATGAAATAAATTTCTTTGACAAGTTCAAATTAACCTATGTGTAATTTAAGATGTAGAAATTATTTCATTTAATTTCTATAAAACTGATTTTAACTTATATGTAAATAAATTTTAGTTATGGTTAAAATTTAATTTATTATTTATTATCCTATAAATATTTATGCATCAATTTATTTAAATAACACTTTAATGGTATTTAGGTGGTTCAACTTCATCACTTTTTCTTTTGTTAGGTGTGTGTTTAAATAACACTTGTTTTGTTTCATCAAATTTTTCTCTACAGCTAAAATCAAAACATTTATTATATTATGATTATCATTCCTTGTTAGTTGCTGTGCAGATATCAACAAAGCCTCCTATTATCGCGGTTATATTGGTAATTTTTTGTTTTGCTAAGGCTATGTTGTAAATTTAAAACCACGTTCCATTTTTACATTGGGCTTAATGTTTCTTAACATGGTTCTAGATATTTAGGCCTTTAATGTTAAGAAGTCTAATGTTTTTTGACAAAAAAAAAAAAAAAAAACTCAAAGATGATGGTTCAGCTTGATATCATGACAAGCAATTGGGCCTAGACTGTCTTTGTAATGAATGTGGAACAAAAACAAGTTGTAATTTTGTTGTCATGAGCATTATGAAGAGTTGGGAATCTGGTAGTGTCGGTAGATAGGGATTTTGTGTATATTTACATAAGAATTTTTAAATAATATTAATGAATTTTTCGAGGAATATATATGTGGGTAAATCAGAAATTACTGAAGGCAGCTGATGAGAGTTGTTCATGGATCGTCTGGAAATACAGCTAAACCATTTTATGATTCACCAAGAAACAAAAACCATCATTAGATACTCCTTATCTATGCGACCCATCAACAACCTGACACTATTTATTTATTTATTTATTTTCTTATCCTCGATCCAGCAGGAAACCACATGCATTTGGAGTTAAAATTTATTATATTAATTAAAACCAGCAAGCACATGCTCCACTGCTGCCATTGCCATGAAGCATGCGCTTAATCCAACTTATTTTATAAAGATAAATATTCGTTACTACCAATTTCTTTAAGAATTGAAAATGTTTTAAACACAAGCGAATATTTCTATTTAAATTAAATAGAAATATTAAAAACTGACAACGAAAGAGTGCAGTCTATTGTAGTATCAGTTATGAAAGACTTTAGATCCACCCTGTCACTGTCCAAGCATTAATCAAATTCAGAAGCACTCGTTCTCCATCATTCACATGTACGACTAAACATGAATATCGGTTCTTGCGGAAGATTAATAGTCAGCAAGAGTGGCGAAAAGCACCTTAATTATAGATTGGATTGGGTGATCAATGTTACAATTAATCATTGTTACTAGCATGCATGCACAAACAATTAAACACTTGTCTCTAACAAGGTCAAGAAAAGAAGGAAAAGGCTAAAAATAGAGGCTTATGATTTATAAAGAAGAATTAATTGAGGGTAGCAGCATGGATCTTGTCCAAGATTTGTAGAGCCTCTTTCATGGAGGGTCTCTTTTGTGGGACCGGACAAGCACAGCTGAGGCCCAACTTGAACCATGCCAATAACACACTCTCTCTTGTTTCCATGTCACACTTTATTGCCACGTCAGCCATCTTCAACACCCGGTTCTTCTCCTCTTCCACCGAACCCGGTTCATGCCACTGTTCCAACTCCCGCTCCAACAAAACCCTCCCAGTTAGAAGCTCCAGCAACACCACGCCGAAAGAGTACACGTCCCATTTGTTGCTGGCCTTGATGTTTTTAAACGTTTCTGGTGCTTGATAGGCCATTAGGCCCACCGTACTGGACGATGAGCCCATTGTCGTGTAGGG